TGGCGCTATTGCCCCTTCAGGCGGGTTCTGCCCCTTTGGGGTGGGGCGCCGAGCGAGAGCTGGGCCTGGGCCGGGGGTCGTGGCCACCCCTGAGTGGCGGGGTAGGAATTTGCGCGGGGGCGGCCCTCGAAACGGCATAACTCAGGAGGGAAAGAACCATACAGACACAATGAATCCTCGATCCCCCCCAAAATATGGGAAAATATGGGAAGTGGGGGGAAGACAAAAAGCCAGGAAAATATATGAAAATATCAGGATTCTTTGGTTTGTCTATATTTATTTGTGTGTGTCCCAGGGCCTCTTTGATAACGCAAGAGCTTTCGGAGTTCCGCGCGGATTCCTTGGACAGCGCTGCCCCCCCAACCCTGGCGCGCGGAGCGCACCAGGGGCGGCGCCGGAGGCGCCGCCCGGGGGACCTAACGTCGATCCGAGACATCTGCGCGAAGCTCGGAAAGTTTATGTCTATGCCGTTTTGTTATTTAGTATTCGTGGCCGGTGCGTGCATCTCTGGTATATAACTCAATTGCTTGTGTTCGCTCAGAGTGTGCACGGGATAGTTGAGAATTTGTTTAAATGCGAAGCATAAAAACAGGATCGATTCCAGACAAGAAGGAAAGTCGTAAAGGCAGGGGCGCGATGAACATGCCACAGGATGCGGATAGAAAAACGAGCAGCTGACTAAAGCCCCAGGATGGTTTCAAGAACTCGCCCACAACCAGAAAAACAATTCGACACACTGAAAGCCAATGTCGATGGGGTCAAAGACTTGATCGACAAAGCAAGGATCGAGGCGCAGGACGTAAGGAGGGCAGCAGAAGAGGTCCAGGATAAAATAGAGGAGGTTGAGATGGATGTGGAGAGAATCCGAAACGACCTTGAGGAAATAATTGTACATCACCGAACGATAATCGAAGATATGAGCGAAAACAAGCTCAAGGAAAATACGGCACGCAACATGTTCGACTAAGTTGTGGAGGAGAGGGTGAAGGAGGCGATGAGTAAGCGCACAAAGGACCGTCCCGAGAATGGTACATGGCAGCTTCATGGAACAGTGGCGGGTGGAGCTGAGCAGGTGGTTGTCTCTGGCTTCGATGGCAGTGCGACCACAGAGCAGTTTGTGCAGAAATTGGAACAGATCGTCAGGCAAGTGATGGGCAATTGGTCAGAAGCAGTCGTTCTTTTCTGACGACGACCGAGTCAACGAAGTTTGGTGTCATCGAGTTCCCCATCCATGTAGTCGAAGATCTAGTTCTGGAGGAACGTCCGCGACAAGCTGCATGAAGAGGATGCGTTCTGGGACGTGTTCTTTCGGAACAGCCTTACCAAAGAGGAGAGGAACCGAGAAAAGAGGATGGGCGACACCAAGCACCACGTGTCCAAACACCCCTACCACAAAACAAAAGACATAACAATAGTATGACCGAAGGGGATGGTTGTGGCCAAGGACGGGGTGGGGAAGCAGAGAAAAATTGCATGGTACGATGATCATGAGGTGTGGCGAACGACTACAGTCAGGGCGGCGGTGGAAGAGTCTATGCGGAAGTGGCGGGAAAAGGGGAGGTCCAAACCCTCTGAAGAGAGCGACTGACGCCAAGGCGTCGTTCTTGACCAGCGCTGGGCTGCCCAGCGTACCCATGCAAACTGATCCACTACAATGTCGATTTGCTCACCATGTCCTAATGCACAGGGCAAGTGCGGTGGGGGAGGGATTGGGAAGTATTCAAGCGTGGACGGCGACTTTCCTTCAGGATCTCTTCGCCCGCTCAGGAACAGATCGAGTGCTCCAGGTACGATTCCAACTCCTACCTCCTGGATGCCTGCGCCACCCGCTTCATCTATACGCTCTGGGGTTTCGACCCCCCAGCCGACATTTCTGGACACGATTGCGCACCAGAAGCTTAAAAACCACATCAGGGTGTTCCATAAGAACTCTCGAAGGTTATCTGGTGACATTAGAGTCCACAAGTTATTCCACGAGTTTGAAGGCATCGGTTGGGATGGACTTCTTTCTGTCGAGCGAAACGTTGAGGACCAAGGGGAGAGAGCTTTCCGAGACGGAATCTGGACACGTGATTGCCGGAGCAGGTTTCGACCAGCCAAGACGTGGTGTGGGAGCTCTCGCAAACAAGCGGTGGACGAATGGCGCGACGAACTCTGTTGCGTGATCTGGAAGGCTTGCGGACGTTGATTTGTGCATGGGCGGTGGTACGTTACGCTGCATCGTTGCGTGTTTCCTGCACGGTGGATACGGAGATGAGCTCGCGCAGGATCTTTACCGCAATCTTTCAAAATCCGCTTGGGAGGGCGGCAACGAAAATATCGATTCGTATGGGGGGGACATTTCAACGCAGAAGTGGTCAGCCGCTTGGACCTAAATAACATCAAGGTGATCGGCAAGCACGGCTTGAGTTCTGAGAACGCAGGGGCCCCAGCCAGAATCCGCATCGATTATTTTCTCGGCAATAGGGGCGCGCGGGGCACAGTGAAAGATTACACTTTGACTGCAGAGCTGGACATGGGGTCTGATCACACAGCGACGCATATAACAATGCGGTGGCCCAGCAACCCGAAGCAAATATAACAGAAGAAAGAAGAAACGCCGACATGCATCCTGGACATGCGTTGGCCCAGAAGGTTTCGCAGATAGTCTGGAGGACGCGCTGGCCAAGCAGGAGTGGGAGGGCGATGCAACAGCCGGGGCATACCAACTAGAATCTGCATTGCTGGAGTCGGCCAGTGCCAGCGCCAACGCGGCCGAGAGTAAAGAAACGCAGATGTTGCGCGATTTTCGGGGCGCCACTTCCCATCGCGCGCAACAGAGGAACCAGCTCCTGAGGAACGACCCGCAGCGCACAAGAGTGAGCAAGACCATGCGGATGTTTTCTCGAGATTGCCAATGGAGCAGGCCTTTTAATCGAATCAGCAGATTGATGGATGATACCAAGGGCAGAAAGCACATCCCCGCATCGTGAGTCCGCAAGCCAATGACGTCGTGCATTCTTGAGAACAACACGGAGGTGGCCAACCATGTTGATATGGCCAACGTGCGCGCTGATTCCTACAAGGAGTTGCATGCCTCGCACCGCCGGGTCGACGAAGAGCCTCGGCTACAAGAACACCGCGGTGAAGGAAGCTCGGCTGAGTGCACTCGCGAGGAGGCGAAGACAACCATCCAGCAACTGAAGCGCAACAAGCGCGCCGGTGGCATTCTAGCAGAGATGCTTTTGGGGCCAGGAGACGTTCTTATCGATAATATGAAGACGCTGTGCAATAATATTAGTGATCCCATTTTTGAGCCGCCTCAGTCATGGCGGCATTCCGTCATCAAGGTCATACATAGGTCAGGGGGCGAACGGGAGGAGGAGCAGGAGAAGGATGAGGAGGAGGAGGAGGAGGAGGAGGAGGAGGAGGAGGAGGAGGGGGGTGAGGAGGCGGGGGAGGAGGAGGGAGGAGGGAGGAGATCGAAAGCGACCATACCACTGCAGTGAGAGATGCCGCAGACTCCGGAGCCCGAACAAAGCCCGGGCCAGGCCGGGCTTCCTCCTCCTCCTCCTCCTCCTCCTCCTCCTCCTCCTCCTCCTCCTCCTCCTCCTCCTGGAAACGGACGTACAAATTGCCTTGGTGGCATGCAACGATGGAGTTCCAGTCGGCGTTGATTGTGTCGAACATCCATCGTTATGGAGCGCATTATTCTAGCAAGGCGCGCGTATCGCATCTCGCTTTGTCACGGAAGCTATACCGCGACCAGACAGTGCAGGTTCACACAGACACAGACAGCCGGACATTTGACATTTACCGCGGGACCAAACAAGGCAACATTTTTGACTCTCGATTGTTTGTTTCATTACTTTCTTTGGAGGACGTAATGAGTCAAGCGAAAGCAAGTTGGAAGGCGAAGCGTTTCGGCATTATGTTGGGAGTGACAGATGTATCCACGTTGACGAATCTCCGCTTTGCAGATGATGCCCCATTAACGGGAAAGACATCGGATCATTTTCAACACATGTTCTTTGGCGCACACGAGCTCGTTGGGGCAGGTGATTTGTGCCTGCGCCCCGAAAAGCCGAAGATACTGACACATGCAATAAAGCAGCATGGCAGAAGCAAGAAGCAGGAGTCAATTGTCAATGAACACATCGAGCTCTTACCAACAGGAAAGACGGTTGAACATTTAGGGACAGAGATCGGTCACAAAATCCGGCAGGCGTGGAAGTTGCTCATGATGCACAAGTCAGAATTGATGAGCAAACGGAGCAGCTTCAGACCTCGATTGCGCTTCCTTTGACAGCCCGGCGACGCCAAGTTTACTGTATGGGGCTTCAAATTGGATTTTGCTGTTGGTTCTGCAGCATCGGATCCAAAGAACTCAGAGAAACAGGTTGGATGATCTTGGGCTCTGGAGGCGGCTGGTCGAGATTAGTGTCGCTTTCGAAATAAACAGCTCGAGTGTGAGCGAGCCGCCGTATGAGAGCAGCCTTTGCCCGCCGAAAGAGTCATTGGTGGCTTGGGCGACGCGCGCTACGCGCACAGCTGAAAAAGTTTTACGACGGAAGCAACGACTGGCGTGCACTCTGGAAGCGCAGGGCGTGGACATCTGCTTACCGCGAGGCCACAGACAGCAGAAAATGGGCAGAGAAAACTGCACATTGGAGGCCAAAGAGACAGAGAGTGAGACAGATAAACAAAAGCACAAATCTGCGCGGCGAGCCCCTCATGCACCAGAGCTGTAGTTCGTTTTCTCAAAAGCAATGGCATTTACATGGCGAGCGACAGTCTGTTTAACGTGATCTCGTTTTTCCCCGACTGGCGAGTGGGCTTCTCCCGGCGACGAGTTTTGCGGCGACATCCTTGTCCGAAGGCCGCGGACCTTCCCGCCCTTCCTCCTGGGGACGCACGCGCCCTAGCGCGATGGAGGCGGATCGTTCGTTCGTTCGTGGCCTGTGTTTTTTCCTCTCCCCCTCCTCCCGGCCCCCGCGTCCTTGCTGTCTCTCCCCCTCGAGGCCAGGCAGCGTCGTGCAGCTCTGCGCGGTGGAGATGACCGCCCTGGAGAGCAGGCCCGAGCTCAACGGCCTCAGGGGCCGCATCTTCGGTTTCGACGAGGCCCGCTGTGAGGGAAGGAATGGCAGCAGGAGTTGGAAGAGGAGGAGGAAGAGAAGGATCAGGAAAAGAAAGATACTGTTACCGCTTCTCGTGTTCGATCTCCGTCGCCGCCACGGCAGGACTGGCATAGAGACTCCGGTCAGAACAAACCCCAGCAGAGGCCCGGGGAGTTGCGGTATCGCTACCCTTTGGGAACCCCAGACGAGGAGGAGGAGACTGGGGGGTCGCCAGCGGAAGTGGAGGAGGCAGTAAGGAATACGGATACATGTTGTTTGTCTTCTTCTTGCCACCAGTAGGACATGGCCCCACGCAGCTGGATATGTTTCCAAATCTCGGCCAGGACGCGCTTCAGGGTAGGTCACGGGAACGATTTTGAAGGATGAGAAGGAATTGAAACCAGAAGAGGAGGAGGAGAAGACGAAGAGGAGGAAGGCGAGGAGGAGGAGGAGGAAGAGGGCGAGGTGGAGGTAAAGGAGAAGGAGGAGGAGCATTTCCTCCCCCTCCTTCCCACTTCTGCTTTCCCCTCCAAAGAGGAAGACAGGACGAGGACAGGCAGGAGGAGGTCGAGGAAGAGAAAGACGACGGCACCGCATGCGACTGGCAGGCATCCAGCCGCAGTCTCTCCCGAGACAGTCCCTGCGCATGAGTACCCTTCTGCGCAGACCCGTGTTCCGCAAAAAGATCGGGCGAGGGAATGGATGAACGAGGAAGCCACGAGCCACCTACGCTTCACGATTTCTATTAGTAGATCGGCCCTTCCAGATCAAGGGTGTCCTTGTATCCTGTGTTTCGGCCGGCCTACTGTACGCGGAACTCTTCATGTCCAGCGCGGCCGCCGCCGTCTTGTTTCCCTCTTCTCGCACGCCGGATAATTCGCAGTCCGGTTGCCCCGAATAGCCACACGCTGGAGCGGACTGCCCGTGCCCTGCCGCCGACGAAAGTGTCCTGTGCGTTCGCGGCACATGTCCTCTGCATTCCTGGGGCAATGTGGCCCTCGGGAAGGCCTCGTGTCTTCTGCTGTGCCCTGCCCAATCAACCTTGGCTGCATCACGCCGAGAACTCCGACTGCTCCTTTTCTGGGCCGCCCGCCGAAACAAACGTTCTATGTTATATTATTATTCGTCCTCCTCCTCCTCCTCCTCCTCTTCATCCTCCTCCGGTTTCTCGTCTTCCGCCGTCTCTTTCCTCGCCCATTGACCCCTCGTTGTTTATAACGCCATTCCTCGTGTGCGCGTTTCGCGACGTCGAATCTCAACCCAGGCGTCCGTCGTGTACACCACCAGGAGCTTTGAAGGTATCCTCGGAGTCTGGGTTGGTGGCCTTCCGGCTTCTCTCCCCTGTGGTTTCATATCAGCTTCGGTGGCAGCCTCTGGACAGAGCTTATCAGGTTCTGTCGATTTCGCACTACGGCCCCCTGTGGTGTGGGCTCTTAGTGTCCTGGACTGAAGCTACCACGCGGTCCGTCTCACTGCGAGCGGACGGTGCACGAGGTTGGCGCTGTGAGTTCACGCTCGCTTTGCCAAGTTGCGCCGTCTGGAGGTGCTTGTGCTGCGCAGGAAGGCAGGAGTACTAGGACTCCCTGCAAGGCACCTCGGAGAGCTGGTTCTGTGTCGCATGAGCCATGGCAGAAACAAGAGGAGAAGGACGAGGATGACTGCCCAGACCTCCGACGCGGAAGTTTTGCCCCCGCGTGGGCCCCCGGAGCTCCCGGCATTATCCACGGATCTTTGTTGTGTGTGTCTCGTCGAGGGCCGTTGCCGGAAGACCCGCCAGGGCCGAAGGCCGCCCGCTGAAGGAGCCCGTCGTTCTGGGATTCCTGGCTGCGATTGCCGCAGCTCTGCGGAGGAGCCAGAGGCAACGCTGGGGGGGGCGATAGGCTCAAGGGGGACACATCGACCCCCATCGCCCATGTCTGGCCGACGGGGGCCCCATCGCCCCACCCCCCGCCCAGGAGCGTGCGGATTTGCCATCGGGGGCCCGCCGTCGGAAACTGGAGCATCTGCATCACCAGTGGCGGGCTGCCTTTCTCAAGGAAGAAAAAAACGCCGTAATCATAAAATTTTGGTGTTGCGCGCGGATTTCTTGGATCCGCGCTGGGCCCCCCTGGCGGCACCTCCGGCGCCGACCCTGGCGCCGACCCGCGCGGAGCGCCAAAACTTTTTGTTTCTGGCGTTTGTTTGCTTCTATTTTCAATCCCTGGACTCTTTGGCGGTTGGGGACGGCTTCGGGGTGGTGTGGTGTATGCTTTCCCGGGGAAGCACCGAAAAACGTTTTTCCACCAGGATCCCCTGTACGCCAGGACCCGGCTTCTTGTGCGAATCCCAGCGCGGGGCCGGAAAGAGCGTCGGTGTAGAGAGTTCGGCTCCCTACATCGGCGATGCATCGCCGATTCCACAGCGACTTCTCCCCCCCTGAGCTGGCCCCCCCCCCGACGCTGCGAGGGAGGGCCCGCCCCCTCACCGGCACAGGCGCGAGGTCGCCGCCCTAGCCGCGCTGCCGACGGCGGCCGCCGCGACGGCGCGCGCTCGCGGAGGGCCGATCGCGGCCCGCGTGGCTCCACGGCAGGGCGCCGAGCGACGACGTGCGCTCGCTCAGGCAGTGGCGAGGCGTCCTGGCTGGCCGAGTGGCCCGCCAGAGAATCAAGGGCTCCCAGGAGGGCGCGAAGTTATTCGCGCTTCGCCGTCCTCCTTCCTCCTCCCCCTTCTCCTCGTCCTCCTCTTCTCCCCCTTGGGGGGCGGCGCGAGAGCGCGAAGTTATTCGCGCTTCGCGCAGCGCGAAGCGCGAACTTAGGAGCCCTTGAGAATGTTCTAAGAGAAGCTTCGGTGGTCTGCACGGACTGTGCTCAGAACATGTCTGGCTCAGGCTGTCTTGTTCTAGCACCTCGGCCGAATGTTCTGAGAGCACTGCTTTTGTTATGATAACACAGTGGGTTTCCAAGAACATGTCGTAGTAGGCCTACAGGAATGCTGGCACGGTCGGTCCCTGTTCAGATCGCGGCCCGCTTGGCTCCACGGCAGGGCGCCGATCGACGACGCGCGCTCGCCGATGGACTTCGGCGGGGTGGCGCGGCGGGGCGGGGGGGACCTTCTCTTAGAGGGCAGGGGGCTTCTCAAGAAGCCCCGCCGCCTTCCAATGGGAGGACGTCGTGTTTTTGAAGCCAGATCCAGCTTAAAAACACCCTCGTGCCTTTGAAGCCGGATCCAGCTTAACAAAAAAAAGGTAATTCACGCTCTGAAAGACACGAAGTTCGCTCAGGTCGATGCGCCCTCCGCCCCGCCAGGTCCTCTCGCGAGTCGCCCTCGTCGCCAGATCTCGAACGGGCGCTGCAGCCGCAGTGCTCGCCAGGCCTGCGCCCGCCGGTCGCGGGCCCCTGGGCCGCTCCCCCCCCCGGGGCGTTGCTCTGCCGAGGCGAAGCTCCTTTTGGAAGGGAGGGGGAGGGGGAGGAGGAGGAGGAGGGGGAGGGGGAGGAGGAGGGGGAGGAGGAGGAGGAGGAGGAGGAGGAGGAGGAGGAGGAGGAGGAGGAGGAGGAGGAGGAAGGGGAGGGTCCGTAGCCATTTTGGCTCAAGGCTAAACGTAACGAAGGTTCGGGGAACCGAGGTGTTGCGATTAGCTTTGGACCCTTCCGTAGCGATTTCTCGAATCGCTTGGGGCTTGCCCGCGGCACACCTTCCAGATCTCTCATCCTGTGCACCACCAGTGCTCTCTCCGAGCCATGGGCGATGGCGTTCACACCATCCCGAGCCAGATGCAGATGGCCACAGACATCGACCTCGACGACATCCCGACCTTCCCGCCGTCGCAAGTGGGCGCTGGTGGGTCTTCACAAGTGGCTACTCCTGTCCGTGGCGCTGCCCCTCCTGGTGCTGAGTTGGGTGGTGGTGTCCAAGGAGAGCAAAGTGGTATCAACAAGCGTCGCGCTGGCCCTCCACCCGCTGGTGACGCTGACTTCGAGATCGTCCATGCAGCCAACCTCCAGGGCTCCATCGAGGCCTTGCGTGCGGAGCTGCTCGAGCAGGTCACGAACACGACGTCCGCGCTCAACTCCAGTCTTCAAGGATTGGCCACCAGAGTGCAAACTACATGCTCGGCGATGGCATCGCAGGTCGAACAACGTCTCAATGGAGTGGAAACTATCCAACGCGGCCACACCAAGCAGCTCCAGGTTCTTCATGAAGAGGTCAAACAACTCAAGCGCGAACTCAACGTGGTCAAGGAGACCCCCAGTGAGATGCCCACGGTCTTCCCGAAGTTGTCGCTGGACTCGGCGTTCAACCGTGCCATCGACGCGTCCATCATCGTGGTCCGCTGCAAGGAGCAGACTGCGAAACATCAAGTTCAAGGAGCCCTTCTTCCGTGGCTGGAGCGTCTCAACATCGAGTCGTCCGAATGGGAGCTCCAGGGGGAGCCGTCGGACAAGAGGTTCACGATCAAGTTCAAGGGTAGTTCTCAGTTCGCCGCCCGCCGTGCACAGCATGCACTCAGCCTGCTGCGCCCGCAGCGTCCTGGTGAAGAGTGGATGCGCTTTTTTGCCCCCGCGATCTCGGGCGCCCGCTCGGAGATCTTTGTCGGATCGGACAAAAACCAGTGCCAGGTCAAGCGTGAAGTTGCGCTCAAGGCTGCCAAGAGGTTCTTTGAGAACCGCTTTCAGGACAAAAAGTTTTTTGTTGACAAGCTGCGCGGCACCATCTCCACTAACTGGCGCCAGCTCGTGGAGATCACTCCACGGGCGGACGACGCGCCGCGGATCCGCTGGGCGGAAGCGAATCTGGCTCTCGAGAAGATCTCCCGCGAAGCAATCGAGGAGCCGCTGGCTGTCGCCATCCAGGGAGACAGTCAGACCCAGTGGTCTCTTTAGCACGTTCTTTGCTCTCTGGAGCGGATCTTCCGAGACGCCGTTGAGGACCGGCTCTTGGAATTTGAATGCCTTGTTGCACCGTCAGACTCTCGTTCGCACTGCGAAATTCCGCTATTTAAAACGCCTGCTCCGTCCTGGGGCAATCGTGGCCGCGCAGGAAGTCCACGGACCGACTGCAGAGGTGCGAGATTTCTTGCATCACGCTAATCTCCCCTTCTCCTGCTCCTCCTCTTTTCTTCCAGCTGCGCTTGACGACGATGGTATCACCAGGCCGCGCCCAGCAGGAGGCGTTGTCACACTCTATCCGAAGTTTAGTCCCAGCAGTGAACGGGAGCGGAGGTTCGGCAGCGCGCCTCCCCTCGTCTCTTCTCTCTCTCTGGTTCCTGGTCGAGTATTACACACGCGTTTCTCATCTCTTGATGGCCCGACATGGATCTCTCACTACAACGTTCACAATCACAGTATCTCTCGTGTTCAACGTCGTCATGTGTGTCAGTGTATTGCTAACGATCTAATGGATGCTAGTCGAGACCCACAGAATAAGCTGGTCATTTTTGTCGGGGACTTTAACTTCGGGCTGCAACCGCCCGCGCCGCTCTACCCGAGCGACGAGCTTTTCAATGCCCCCCTGCCGCCGCCCGTCCCAGGGGCCCCCGAGTGGCGCGAAGTTCTTCGTAAGATGGTCGAGTTTCAGCTAGAAGCACCTACTCATTATCATGCGGGGGTACAGCGCTTATCCTATATCGATCGGTTGTTCTGCTCTGCTCCTGGGCGGGTGTCATCGCAGATGGTTACCAGCGGGGAGGCGGTGGGGATCCCAGAACAGCTCCTAGCGAAACACATATCTGACCTTGCTGCAGTCTGTGCGACTCTTGTTGCTCGTCAGCGGCCGCCTGAAGATGCCCGACCTATCCCGCGTGAGATCTTTCGTTCGGCCGAATTTGCATGGTATATGCCTCGTGCACTTGCTGCTGCTGAATATGAACATCTTAGCGCACCTCTCAGACACGCATACTTTAAGAAACTCATGATAGAAGCAGCCCGACATGCTCGAAACTCGCTTATCATACACAAGCCGCAGTCGCTCGACGCCAAATTCATTGTCCTTCGTACGTGTGCACGGGCTGTCTTTCGGCAAGATGTGCGCCTCCCCGAACGTGTTTGCCTGTCCCACCCTCTCGCTCGTGAACAACTCGTTTACGACGAAGCTGCGAGCACGGTCGATCTGGTCTCGCCGCTGGACTTTGCATCGCTCTCTGACACGCTGCACGCTGAAGTTTCACAGCGTCGGCGACAACTCGCGCAAGCGAGCCCTGCTGCTGCTGGTAGCGAGCAGCGCCAGGCTCGGCTTCGAGGGCGGGCGGGGAAAATGAAAAAGGCTGCCAAGTTATGGCCCCCCTTTGACAAACGCGTCTCTCTGGCGGGAGTTCGGGCCCAGGGACGAATTGTCGACGCTTCGCGTATCCCCACCAGCCCATCCAGAAACGATGCTCAGGGGAGTTGAGGTGATCAGGGAAGTCGGGGAGCATGCAGAATAACAAAGGGCGGGGGAAGCTGTCACAGACCCCGAGAGGGGGAGGATGGAAGAGGAGTCGTCGTCGTCGTCGTCGTCGGAGGAGGAGGAGGAGGAGGAGGGGGAAGAGGAGGAGGAGGAGGAGGAGGAGGAGGACGGAGAAGGAGGAAGAATCGGAGGAGGAGGAGGAGGAGGGGAAGGAGCTTCTTGGGGGTCTTTTGAGGGCCTCTTGGAGGGCTTTTTGGGCGCCTTGGGGCATCTTGGGCGCCTCTTGGGACCCTCTTGAGGCGCTCTGGGGAGCCTTCGGGGCGCTTTTGGGGCCATCTTGGAGGGAGTCGATCAAACAAGAGGGGGGGTTTAATTAGCGTCCCCCCTCGGAAGCCCCTAAAATCGCCTCTTGGACCCCTCTTGGAACGCTCTTGGAGTGCTCTTGGGCGCTCTTGGGGCCGTCTTGGGGCTCTTTTGGGGCTCTCTTGGGGCCCTCTTGGGCCATCTTGGAGCCATCTCCAGGCCTCGGATGGCCATCGGAAGCGAAAGGCGAGAAAGCAAAAATCATTGATTTTCCTTAGGTTTTGGGACGATTTTGGCCTCTTCGGGGCCTCCTTGGGGAGCTGTTTGGCCACTTGGAGTTATCTTGGGGCCGTCTTTGGGCTTCTTGGAACCATCTTAGGAGCCATCTCGAGCGATCTTGCGCTATCTTGAGCCATCTTGGAGCTCATCTTGGGTTCTCTGAGGCGCTCTTGGAGCCGTCTTGGGCCATCTGGGACGCTCTAACTACCCGCGGCCCCCCCCGTCCAGGTCCAGGGGAGGGGGTAGGGGGAGGGGTAAACCCCTCCCCAAGGGGGAAGAGGGAGGGGTGGAAGAGGATCTGCTCTAGACCACCTACGCCCAGAGGGCTGGTGGGATTTGACGGGATCCCCCCCGCGTCCTTGAAGCGCTGTCTGCTCACTGGGCCCCTGTCGTTTCTGGCAAGCCTTTCGAAGAAGAGCCCGCGAAGGCGTACCTGCAGGAGTTCGCCCCCAAAGTTTCGCGCCACGATCTCCCCCCCCCCACCTTGGCCGTCCTGGAAAGCTACCTTCGGAGGCAGTCCGACTCTGGCCCTGGGCCCGACCGTCTTAGATATGCTGCGCGGCAGCACGCCCCGCAAGGTTCCGCCATGTTGTTTGGCTTCTCGCTCTCCTTCAACTTCAACGAGCTGCTGGGAGTTTACATCCCCAAAGGCACGGAAGTTGGCGATCAAGGCGGCATTTTTCGGGACGTTGGGGATACTCGGCCTCTCGGCCTCAAAAATACGGACTGTAAGATTACGACGGGGGTCTGTTGCTGGGAGCTCTCTCGTCGCGCCCCCGCTGGACTCGACTCGAATCAACGTGGCTTCGTCTCGGGCAGAAACTTTTGTTCGAACATCGTGGAGTTAGACACTCACGCGAGGGTCTACTCAATGGGTCCCAGGGCGTCGCTTCCGCTGCTTATAGGTTTTGACTTCGGCCAGGCCTTCCCGAGCTTGTGTCGGAGATGGCTGATGCTGGTGCTCGACGCCCTCGCCCTCCCTCCTCCTTCGGTGGTTCTACCAGATTATCTATGATAACGTCACGTGTTGGGGGAACATTGGTGGGGTCACGAGCTTTATGTACCACATTACCGCTGGTATCGCACAGGGCTGCCCGGCCTCCGGGCTTCTCTTCAGCCTCGCCCTCGATCCCTTTCTCCAAGACTTTCGCTCCGTGGTGGGCGGCACGGGCCGCGGCCATACGAGAGCTTGCGCCGACGACATCGGCATGGCGCCGAAGTGAGATCTCGGCGGTTTTCCCGAAGGCTCAGAGACTGGCGCATCTGAAGCTCAAGATCCCGAAGTGCCACATTGTCCCGCTTATTGGTTCAGCATCCCCTGAAGTCATTCACCAGTATCGCCTCTGGCTTAGCTCTCACCTTGGGGAATGGACCTCCATGGGAATCTCGGGCAAACTCAAGTACCTCGGGATGTTTCTAGGACCTGACGTCGAATGGGACTCGTGGCACGCCCCGCTCAGCAAGTACCAGTCTCGTTGCGCCATGATAGCTGCTGGTGGCTCTGCGACTGAGGTCACCGCTTTGCTCTATCGCCGTCGTGCCGTCACGGTCTTATCCTACGTCGCCCAGTTCATGATCATCCCTCCTCATCTCCGCAAGTCAGAGTACCAGCAGCTGGCCCGTCTATTTAAGACACCATTTCGATGCTGGGCGAACGCCGACTGGCACCGCCTCAAGGACCGGGGTGGACCCCAAACGACCTCTGTCCTCGCCCTTTGCCTTGCATCTCTGATGCGCTCTTGCAAATACACCCTCCCGTGCTGGCGTGACTGTATGGGGATTTTGGATGAAACCGCGTGGGCCGAGCTCCCGCTCGTCACTATCGTTTCTGGTTATCCCGATCTTGAAGGAGGGCGCCGCTGGTGCCCGAAATTTTGGCGGTCCCGCCCTATCGCTCAAAATCTACAACAGGCTGATCTAGGCTTTCAGGATTCCCCGACTTGCAGGATCCCTGGTAGGACGGCTCTCCGTGCGCTGCGAGACCATGTTGCCGTTCACCCTTTCCTTCCTCCGAAAGTTCTTCATCCCCAACGTGTTCTCTATCTGTCCCTCCTGCACTCCCTCTTCCCCGATAACCTGACCACGATGTTCAAGGCTCGTCTGCGCAGAGGATGCCCAGAGTCACTGCAAGAGATCGAGACAATTGGCTGGGATCGCTGCCGTGCCGAGATTCTCTCTCTCCCTCCCTCCTGGCGCGCTGCCGTGCTGAAAACTCTCGCCGCTGCCTGGATTGCTGACAGTCGATTTCAGAAGTCCACTCCGTGCATGCTCGGATGTCCAGAATGTGCTGACAGATTTCGGCACTACTGGAAGTGCCCTTGTTTCCTGAGGCTCCTCACAGAAGTTGTTGGACACCCTCTTGACGCCCGTCCTCTCGCTCGCCTCGGCGTCCTTTCCCCCTCTCGCGCCTCTTTCACCGCCCCTGTCTCTGCCTACTTCTTGTTCAATGCCTTGCGCCCTCTCGTATCTGTGTCAGCGCCTGTGATCCCGCCAGTCACGCAATCCAGCGTGCTCAGGGCGGTGAGGTTTCAGGTGGCCCGCCCAACGTGCGGTGGCCTCTGCACGTGAGGATGAACCCCAGGCGCCCCCAACTACGCAGGAGGAGGAGGAGGGGGAGGGAGAGGAGGATGGGGGAGGGGGAGGGGGAGGGGGAGGGGAGGAGGAGGAGGAGGAGGAGGAGGAGTAGGAGGAGGAGGGGGAGGGGGAGGAGGAGGAGGAGGAGGAGGAGGAGGAGGAGGAGGAGGAGGAGGAGGAGGAGGAGGAGGAGGGAGACCCCGAGCCCCTTCGGAGAGGCGCCGTGGGCAGCGGGCCGAGCCACGAAGCCCTCCGGGAAGCCTCCGGGGCCCCCTCGGGGGCCGTCCGCGGCCCTTCGGGGAGGCCTCCGGGGAGGGGGCCGCTCGGCGAGGCCCTCTGGGAGGCCTCCCCGAGCCCCTCGGGCGGGGCGGCGAGGCCCTCTGGGAGGGCCGCCCTCTCCTTCGGCGCCGCCCCCTCCCCGCGCGCCGGCGATCGCCGCTGGGCGACGAGGACGGCGTCGTCGTCGTCGTCGCCGCCGTTGTTCGAGGCGGAGCTGGCCGCGGCGGCGAGAGGCCGCCACCCCGAGGAGGCCCGAGGAAGCGGAGAGGAGGCCGCCACCCCGAGGAGGCCCGAGGAAGCGGAGAGCCCCACCGAGGCGGGCGCGCGCGCACTGTGGTGGTGCACGCAGGCGACGACGGCGACGACGGCGGCGGCGACGACGGCAACGACGACGACGGCGACGGCGACGGTGACGGCGACGATGACGACGGCGACGGCGACGATGACGACGGCGGCGACAATGACGGCGGCGACAACGACGGCGACGACGACGACGACGACGGCGGCGACGACAACGATGACGACGGCGACGCGAGGGTTGCGCAAATCAGATCGTCGGAGACCTGCGGCATGGGGGGGGGGCTGGCCGGGGTGCTGCACAGGCGCTGCTGGTGCACGCAGGCGAGTGTTTCGTTGGTGCTGCGGGCGCGCCTCGAGGGTGCACGCCGCGACCGCCGTCAGCGTTATCCCCGCCCCCGTCGACCCCCCCCCCCCCCCTTTGTAGCACGCGTAACGCCCAATGGAAGAAGGACGATCTCTCCGTGCATCGCTTCCGCTCGAAGGCCAAGACCGGCTGCGCAAACGAAAGAGGCGCTCGGAGGTCCGCGCGGGTGCCCCGGATCGGCGCTGGCCCACCTCTTGGCAGGCGAAACACGGTATAGCATAAACCGTTTTGCGGTCGGGGGAGCCTGTTCCAGGGCGGCTGAAGAAATTACACCCCCACCTGCCACTGTGGGGGTATAAACTTCCCTGCCTCCATGGGACAAGCGCTCCCGATCGCGGACAAGTTGTTGTTCTCTCATGTTTGCCTCATGACTCATGGCCTTCGGCCCATCCCACCACCGTGCTTGGGTTGTGGGTATGAAGCCTGTTGGATGTTCGTTGGGATCTTGGGGGAGGCTTCTCGGGGGGCCTCTTGGAGGCAGTTTGGACGCCTCTCGGTGGCCGTTTGGGTGACTCCTGGGGCCTCTTTTGAGGCTCTTGAGGGCCCCTTGGGGCCTCTTGGGGGCCTCTGGGCGCCTCTTGGGGCCGCCTGGGGTTTTTTTGGCGCGGAAGGCTCGGATTTTGGTTCGTGATCCTTCTTTTGGGTCCCTTTGGGGGCCGTCATTCAGGAGGGGAAAAAACACACAGACACAATTAATCGTCGATCCCAAAGAACATATGGGAAAATATGGGAAGTGGGCGGGAAGACAAACACCCAGAAAATATGGGGAATAGTTTTATTTGTGTGTATTTATTTGTGTGTCCTGGGGCCCCTTCAGTTTTGGGGCCTGCTTGGGCCGTTTTGGGCGCCCCTTGGGATTCTTGGAGCCATCTTGGAGGCCTCTTGGGCCGTCTTGGGGCGGTCTTGGGGGCCTGACGGGCCGTCTGGGAACGTCAGGGGGCCGAAAAGGCGAGAACGCCAACATCCTCCAAAAACCTCAGGAAGATCAATGATTCTGGCTTCTTGGAGCCCTTTGTAGGGTCTCTTGGGGGCCTCTTTGAGCGTCTTGGAGGCCTGTTAGGCCGTCTGGGGGCCATCTTGAGCGTCATGGGGCAATCGTTCGGCGACTCGGGGCCTCCTTGGGCCGTCTTGGGGGCTTCTTGGGGCGCCCTCTTGGCCCGTCTTGGGGCCCTCTTGGGCCCGAATAAGTCACGCGGGGAGATGCGACGGGCCGCAGAAGAACCGCGGGAAGCCCCGGCGGATTTGAGAATCTGGGCTCCGGTCCCCTTAAAGACTCCTCAGGAATGAGGACTGAGGCTCAGGGGATTGAGCAAAGGACCTTAGGACACGCCCACTCCGTGCTCAGAGGCACGGTGGCAGATACCGTCCTTCGCCTGCTAAACCTCCACACCCGCGGGCTGGCGGCTGGCGGCTGGCGAGCTGGTGATGTTGATGATGTTGGTGATGTTGGTGATGTTGGTGATGTTGGTGATGTGGGTGGTGGTGATGGTGGTGATGGTGGTGGTGGTCGTGGTGGTGACGACGACGACGACGACGACGACGACGACGACGACGACGACGACGACGGTGGTGGTGGTGATGATGATGATGATGATGATGATGGTGATGATGATGATGATGATGATGATGATGATGATGGTGATGTTTGTGATGGTGATGGTGATGGTAATGCTAATGACGATGATGGTGAGGCTGGTCAGGACGAAGAGGCGCAGGAGTGAGGGAGGTAATACAGGGCGCGAGGCGGAGATCCGAGGGGGGATGGGTGAGTGGGGGAGGAGACGGAGGAGGCGGAAGAGAAGGAAAACAAGGCCCCCTCCCCAAGATCCTCCAAGAGCATTTGGGAGCACCCATGAAAACAATCCTCCCCCTTTCAGAGTTCCAGGGCCGCGATGTAGAGAAAACATCCGCGCAACTTGGAGGGATGGGTGGTCGGGGTAGGGTGTCGGATATGGCGCGAACGCAACCTGCGTGTCCCCCCCTCCCTTCTCCCTCGTCCTTCCCCCCCCTCCCTCGCCCCAATCTCCCTCTCTTGGAAGATGGGGGAACGAAGAAGAAGAAGAAGAAGCAACAACAACAAAACGCGATAACGAGACAACACAGGCAATCGCGGTTGATCCGATTGCGAATTTGACGAAATACCATAAGCGCATCAACTAAGACATTGGCCTGCCATCAGGTGCCCCACTGCATTGTCTTAGCACCTGGTGTCCCCAGGGACCCGCAGAAGGTCGGATCGACGAGGGAGGTACCCCATATCTTTCTTCTGGCAAGGCTCCTCATCGTATACATCTACTGTAGATGGCAATCACGGCACGAGGCCTGCTGCTCGGCCGGAGAGAGTTGCCTGCCCTCCAGGGGGCGTTCCGTGCGTGAGCACGAGAATGATCGCGTTCCCGCGCGGAGCGATGTCCGCGGTAGGGTGGCCCAGAGGTTAGTCTCCGCAACTCTTGAAAGGCTTGATTCAGCATCGGCGTTGGTAGATCCTCGGTCAAAAGCAGTCTCAATCTAACTTAACGCCGCCTAATCCGACTTTCGGCTTAATCCCGCTAAGCCCGGCTGAATCCACGGCTCGATCTGGCGTAATCCGTCTTAATGGTTCTTACATCGGGACGAATGGCCCTCATTCGATTTCATGACGACCTCCTGCCTCTTGACGGGGAAAGAGAGCCGAGGCCGGTACAGGGTGCTCCTGGACGACCTCGCCACGGCCGTCGCCCTGCAGCCCGCCAACTGCGTGCTCCTGGACGAGGGCGTGCGGGTGTTGCTCCGGGGCCTGCGCGGCGCCCAGCGGAGGCATCAGCGGCGATCTGGGAGAGGCTCCCGCGACGGAGAACGTTCAGGATCAGACCTCTCGCCATGAAGGAAACGGGTCCTGATCTCTTTCCCCGTCCCTCGGCTCCAGGGCTGTCCAAAAGCTGCGCAGGACGAGAAATTTGCTTGGGGGGAAGGCCTCCGCCAACTTTGCCTTCAAAGTGCGTCTGAACGGAGCGCAATCCCGAACGGTGCGGTCCAAGAGGGCGAACGGGTGATTGAAAAAAACAGTTCTAACAGTCCCGTCATTGAGAGTGAGCTCCATGCGCTGCACCAATGGGCCGTATGGCAGTGGCTCGTGAGTGAATGCATGGCGGGTTCGATGCTGCGAGCGCGAGCCAAGCGAGCCAGGGACCTGTTTCATAACAGCCTGAAGGACCCGGCTACAAAACAGAGGATTCTCGATGCAGCTCTGGGGTTCAGGACCCGCTGCCCGTCAGGAGCATCGGGGGCCCCCATGCCGTGCGGTGACCACACCGTGCGGTGAGTCGCTGGGGACCTCGGGGTGGCCTCACGATCTTGGGGCTCGGGTCGCTGTCCGAGGCGATCGGCGAGCAAGGCAAACGGACGCGTTGGCAAAGAGTTACACTCGGGGCGCTGAATAAGGAACCTTTTCCGTTTGGGAGGGGCTCAGTGTTCTTTAGTGGTTTTACAGTTTTCCCTAGGTTGCCCTTAGGGTTTCGATGCGACATCGAAGTTTTAACTTGTTGAAGAAAGGGCTTCGTTCCTTATTGAAAGGCCTCCGGCCAGTGCCGCCGATCCGAGGCGCTCCAGATGCTGGTGGTTGACACGGCGACGACGACGACGACGACGACGACGACGATGACGACCTCGACGCCGACCACGGACGACTTACGACTAACGGGAGGGGAGGCGGGAGGCGGGAGGAGGGGAAGGGAGGGGGGAGGAGTGAGGAGGGAGGAGGGAGGAGGGAGGACGGAGAGGATGGGGAGGAGGCGGAGGAGGAGGAGGAGGACGCGGAGGAGGAGGAGGAGCAGCAGGAAGAGCAGGATGAGGAGGGAGGAGGGAGAAGGAGGATGAGAACGAGGATGAGGACGAGTACGAGGACGAGGATGAGGATGATGATGATGATGCTGCTGCTGCTGCTTCTGATGATGATGATCATGATCATGATCATGATGATGACGACGATGATGCTGATGCTGATGCTAATGCTGCTGCTGATGATGACGATGATGACGGTGGTGGTGGTGTTGATGATGATGCTGAAGATGATGACGATGATGATGATGATGATGGTGGTGGTGGTGGTGGTTCGGAGGAAGAGGGGGAGGAGGAGGAGCAAGGAATAATGGGATGATGATGAAGATGATCATGATTATGGTGATGATGATGACGACGATGAGATTATGATGATGATGGTGGTGTTGACGATGATGACGATGATGATGATGAGTATGATGAGGGTCATGCTGATGATGATGATGTTGATGATGACGGTGATGATGATGATGATGATCATCATCATCATGATGATCATGATGATCATGATGATGATCGGGGTGGTGGTAGTGATAATGATCATCAACACCACCACCACCACCATCATCATCATCATCATGACAATGATCATGATCATGATGATCATGATGATCATGATCTTGATGAGGAGGAGGAGGAGGAGGAGGAGGAGGAGGAGGAGGAGGAGGGGAGGAGGGAGGGAGGGAGGAGGAGGAGGAGGAGGGGAGGAGGAGGAAGAGGAGGGGGAGAAGGAGGAGGAAAAGGAGGAGGAGGAGAGGAGAAGGAGGAGGAGGAGGAGGAGGAGCGGGGGGGGGGGGGGGGGAGGAGGAGGAGGAGGAGGAGGAGGAGGAGGAGGAGGAGGGAGGAGGAGGAGGCGGAGGAGGAGGAGGAGGAGGAGAAGAATGAGAAGAAGAAGAAGAAGGAGAAGGAGAAGGAGAAGAATAAGAAGAAAAATAATAAGAAAAAAAAGAAGAACGAGGAGGAGGAGGAGGAAGAGGAGGAAGAGGAGGAGCAGGAGGGGGAGCGGGAGGAGGAGGAGGAGGAGGAGGAGGAGGAGGAGGAAGGAGGAGGAGGAGGAGAGGGGAGGAGGAGGGGAGGAGGAGGAGGAGGCGGAGGAGGCGGAGGAGGCGGCGGCGGGAAGAAGAACGAGGGGGAGCGGGAGGGGGAGGAGGAGGAGGAAAAGGAGGAGGTGTTAACATGCAAGCGTTCAGGTGACTGGGGAGGAATAGTGACCCTGTTACCTTTGGCTCAAGTGTTTAACGGCTGAAGCCACCGAGACTCGCTTCGCCGTGCGGGAGTATAAAGGTGACCGATCATCATCACTGTTACTGGGCTCCCGTGCAGAACCCTCCTCGGGGTTTTGCATGGTAGCGGAGCGCGGTTGCCATGGCGGCGGCGGCGGCCGCTGCAGCTAGGCCTGGGCAGGGCGACCCGCCGGTTAACCTCAATGTGCCGGCAGACAGAGACGCATGGGTCAACATGGACCCTAACCGCTTCAATGACCTGTGCGAGCAAGCATACCTGAACGGAGACTTCAGTTACGTTCAGACAGCGTTACTTGCAAACCACTATGGATTTGCAACGTTCATCAACGAGCGAGTGGCACAGGACCGAAGGGAAGTATCGAACGCCGAGGCATTCCAAATGTTACAGAGTGCTCATAAGACCAACAGCATGTTGTTAGCGATTACGAAGAGAAACGCTGCACTTGAAAGGGATGCTCGCAGGCTGGTGGAAAGAGTCACCGAGTTGGAGACCAACAGCGAGGTACAAGATAAGTTGATTGAAAAAATTGGTCAGCTTTCGGAAGCAATCAAAGGAAGAAGTGGAAGCAAGCACGGGAGCGGTAAACCGATAAGCGAATATAAGGCATTACAGGCGTTAAAGAACTTCAGTGGAGAAAGAGCAAAGTTCAGAGACTGGAACGACAAGTTCTTAAACGCGCTGGCCCAAGTAAAACCGAGTTACCGACCGGCGCTGAAAATGCTGAACAAGAAGTTGGAGACACTCGACGGAGTTGTACCGGAGGAGGACGATGATGACATCATACGCATAATGAACGGCCGATTAACAGCAAGCGATTACTTGAAGGCGAATCCAGCTAAACAAGCAGAGGATGACAACAAAGGAGAGCACGAGTTTACCGAGGGAGACAAAACTCAAATGGAGGAAGACTTATGGTACATCCTTAACGAGAAGCTCGAAGGTGCAGAAGCAAGAGGAAAATTAAAGGGATTTATGGATGGTGATGGAATTATGGCTTGGCAAAAGGTTTACAAGTGGTACTCGGCTGTTACCGGAGCGACTCTGTCATCAAAGATGACACACGCCATGAACCCTGAGCCGCCCAAGAAGATTGCTGATACTGTCACCCGACTTGAGGAGTGGAGTGCATTGGCAGAAAATCTTGAAAAGCATGGTAAAGATTACTCACTGCCTCTCCCCCTTAGAATCACCGCACTCAGGGCAATAATGGTGCATGCGAACGATTGGTTCGACGAGTGGCAGCAGGCGTGCTGGCGAACGCCCGACGCGCTTAACATTGACACATTCCAGAAGCTATACTCTAAGTGTGAAGACTGGGCGCGTAAAAAGAAACTCGACTCAGACACCAAGAATAAAGATGCGATGGACATTGGGAATATCAACGAGACGAGTCAAGGGTCCGAAAATATCTGGGACCAGACAGGATGGGTTGACGAGGACGGAAACTGGTGGCCAGAAGATGGATCTTGGAGTTACGGGCCCTGGGCCAATGAGAGTAACAGTGGAGATCACGAAGAAGTCGACGCCGTAAACAAAAGCAAAGGTAAAGGCACAAGCCCCAAATGTTACAATTGTGGAGGCATGGGTCATTTAGCTAGAAATTGCACAAGACCTAAACAGTTCACCAAAGGAGGTAAAGGTGGCAAAGGCGGAAAAGGCAAGGGTTACCGGGCCACCTACGGGTCCTACATGAAAGGTAAGATTGGAGGCAAACAAGGTGGTAAAGGGAGTGGCTCGCGGGGTGGAAGTTATGGAAGCCAAGGAAAATGTACCCCCCATAGCGAGCGTGAGTGTTACAAGTGCGGTGCCAAAGGGCACATCGCCGTTAACTGCCCGGGCCCCAAGAAGACCGCCAACGAAGTTGAGCAAGAGAGACCGACAGTGAACGCGGAAAGTGAACAAACCACCTCATTTGGCCAACCGCAACATGTTCTCAGCGTTGAAATGAGGGATGCAGTGAACGTGCCACTAGACCAACTCACAACTGAGGAGGTTAACGGGCAATGGGCTCTGACCTCACACGCCAGAAAGAAAATGGCGCGTAAGGCCGCAATGAGCCTGAAAAGAGTTTACCATGAGCATCAATGCAACGGGGACTGCAATCATGTGAATCAATGGGACCAGAGGATAAGTAAAAGTGTGAAACAGGAAAAAAGTTGGCTGGAGAAATGCAGAGAGATTGGGCTGATCGAGATGCGAGACTGTGATCCAGAAATTAACGCGGTGCCACCTCAGAGTACAACGCATGAGACAATTGCGGTTACCGTGGACTCTGGGGCGTACAACACGGTGGGACCCCCCAAAGTAGGCACATATTTCCCCATTAAACAAACGGATGCGTCAAAGCAGGGAAGACATTACAGCGCAGCAAATGGAACGACGATAAAGAATTACGGGCAGCGAGTGGTCACCGGCAGGAATGAACATGGGAACGCAGTCAGCATGCCGATTCAGGTAGCGGAAGTCAACAAAGTTCTGGGATCCGTCAGGGAAATGGTAAACGCTGGAAACAGAGTTGTGTTTGACAAGGATCTTAACGGGAGGTCCCTGAGTCACATCATGAATAAGGCCACGGGTAAATGCACAACTATCCACGAGAAGAATGGCACGTTTCAGTTCAACAGCACAGTGCCGAGGGGGCCAGCGGAGGCCGTCAATCCCAGGAGCGAAGTGAACGCAGCTGAGGGTTTTCCGCGGCCGGGAACCCTGGAGGCGGA